CTCCCCACATGCCCTTGGAAGGAGTGCTTGGAAATGGGAGGCCCTCGGGGAGCACCCTGCCCCGACTTTTCTCCTGTCGCCTCAGCCCTCTCCTCTGCCGGCACTGTCCTGAGAGCCTCCAGCCCTGCTGATTCCCTGGGAACCGATTTCTCTCCCAGGATCTCGGGGTCTCCCTGCCGTCGCCCCCAAGAAAACAAATTATGTAGTTTAGTACTGCCTGGGCCTTGATTTTAAAGTACTTCGCTGAGGTGTGATTCGTGTACGGTTCACCCTGTGAATGCCCTACCCAGTGGTCCGTAGTGTTTGCACAGGGTTGTAAACCTCTCCCTACTCACTCGCCTCCTGGGCCCCAAGCTACCGCTGACCTACTCCATTCCCTATTTATTTCCTATTGTTTAAATAATGTCGGTGGATACGGAAAACACATTTGTTGACATTCAACATCGCTTGATGACAAATTCTGAGCAAATTAGATAGAAAAAGGACGTTCCTCAACCAAAAGTCCACATCCTACAAACTGCAGCCAGCGTCCCCTGAATGGGGAGAAGCTAAAGGCCTTTCCTTTACAGTCTAAATCAAGTATATAACTGGTTTTTGTTACTCATCAGCACAATTCTAGAAGATTTGGCTCAAGTATCAGATACAAAAATAAAAGCTACCACACCTGGAAAGGGGAAAATAAAATTATCCTGTTTACAGGTGATAGGAAATTATATATACACAACCCCAAAACACTATCAGATCTAAACAAAGTCAAAAGTTGCAGGATGTACAATCAGCATTTCCATACACTAATAGCTATCTAGGAAAAAAAAGTCAAGAAAATAATCCCAGTATAATACCATTTAAACAATTATAAACTAGCGCCACTGAGATGGTTCGGCAGAAGGAGACACTTGCTGCCGAGCCAGATGACCTGAACTTGATCCCCAGGAGTCATGGTGGAAGGAGAGAATTGACCCCTACCAGGTATACTTTGGCTTTCCCATGTCTACCCATTCACCCAATTAAATAAACTACTTGGAAATAAACTTAACTAGGGAGGTAAAAGATCTCTACACCGGAAACTGTAAAACATTGATAAGTTGAGAAAAGCAGGGCTGGAGAAAATGCTCAGCTCTTAAGAACATGGCTGCTCTCGCAGAGGACCTGGGTTTGGTTCCCAGCACACACATGGGAGCTCACAACCGTCTGTAACTCCAGTTCCAGGGGATCCAACACCCTCTTTTGGCCTCTGAGGACACTCCAAACTTGTGGTGCACATAAGTGCATGTAGACAAACCCTCATACATATACAGATAAATGTTTAAGCCCATACTTAGAGAGATACTGCTTCTAGTTTTTTAAAAGTTCCAAAAAGACGTTTTAAGAAGAAGACTGTGTCATCAGTAAATGTTGGAAAAACCAGATGCCCACACACAGAAAAACAGAATCAGAGCAGGGGTGGGGTGGGGCTACACACCTGTCGTCACAGCACCTGTGAAGCCAGCTTGGGCTTACGTAGTGAGTTCAAGGCCAGTCTGTATTGCAGATAATCCATAGATATTGATAAAGGAACTATTTATTCAGAAATTATTTTGGGGAGAACAACTCACTGAACAGAATAGGCAAAATCATCGCAGAGTCCTGGAAGGCTGATGTCCTGTCCCATGCTATTCCTGCCTCCTGAGTTAGTCTGCACCATCCAAGCCCACAAGGGAGAAGAGGGCCAGGTGTACTGCCCCTCATCTTAAGCTAGCCCCAAGGCCACACCCTAGGGGCTGGTACTTGAAGGTCATAGGTGGAACAGGTACCTACTATAAGTCCGAGTCACTTATTGGGGTGCTAACTCAAAAACAAGCAAAGATCCAATGAAACCTGACTGTATGAAAGAACCAAGTCTAAGTGACAGGTTCTTAAATGCAGCATCAGAAACTGAAATGACTAGAGGATGGGATGCTCGGTAACAGTGGTTTAGGCAGAGATGATTGGATACAACTTCAGAAACAGCAGGCGAAAGCCAAAGTCAGTTGCTGGGATCAGGTTAACTAAGAAAGCTTCTGCCAGTGAGGTGATGGTGAAGAGATGGAGGACAGAGTGGGAGGGAATACGTGGGAACCGTGCATGTGACAAGACCGAACATCTGGGGGTGTGCTCAGAGCAAGGTGCCTGGAGAATGGCTCCTCTGTTTATTACACACCCAATAGAAATCTGGTCATTGTGTGAGGAGGGTTACAGAATGCATTGCCTTCCTCTGAGCACATTAATGTCGTACACATTGAAGAAAAAAAAAAAGGACAAACATCTGAAATCTAGAAGGAACTCTGCTCACTGGCAAGGAAGTAAGTAACCCTGTTGAAAGAGGTGAAAGACCCGAACAGACACTAATTACAAATTGATATCCATGTGGTCAACAAGTATGTGAAAATACTAATATCACTAACTGTCAAGGGAATACAAATGAATGCCTAAGTAAATGCCACTCTTCTGTGTTAGAATGGCAGCCATCAAAAAGACAAAACACAGCTGGTGAGGATGTGAGGGGACCCGTGCTCAATGTGGGATCGCAAGTTAGTATGTTCTTAGTCATTCTGGAAAGTTTCTTTAAAAAAGGACTAGATCCAGCACCTATGTCTGTCTGCCAGGGAGGCGATGTGTTTGCTACAGCACTGTCCACAGTAGCCAGTGAATAGCATCAGCCTCGGTGTATAGCTCAATAAAGAGGACGTGGCATGTGTGCACAGTGGAATACTGAGGACCATTCGGCCTTTGAAAGGGGGCACACTGGGCATGCCAGTGAATGCCCATATGTTGAATCCTGAATTCCAAGTCTGTCTGGGGTACATGGTGAGACCTGATCTCAAGAAAGAGGGAAGTGCTGTCATTTGGGGAAACATGGGTGGTACTGGAGGACATCCTTAAGCAGATAAGCCAGGCATGGAAGGCTAACACCCACTGCTTGTGGAATCACAAAAGCGGATGTAGATGGATAGAAGAGCATGGTGGGAAAGGCGGGGAAGGATGGAAGATGCAGGAGGGGAAAGTTCCAGAACTGAACACTCAAGAAGCTGTCATCATCCCAGAAGGTCAGAGCAGGAAGAGGTATCATGAAGGGACCTGCGGTGACATTTAGGAATGGGATGTCTTGTGTGGGTCCCTGCCTCCTTGTCATTTGCCCTACTTCTGGGATTCCAGCATCTTCCAATGTGGCTCAGCCACAGATGGACCACGCAGTCCTGAGTGTACATGTATGTAGGAGTCAGGTCGGGCTGTGCCGCATTTGCAGCTGACGGGAAAGAAGGGGCCAATGCTGCTGACAGCCTCTGGCCAGCAGCACAGCCCGGAAATGGACTGGGAATCCAACTGCTTCCCCATGGGTGAAGTATTTGTTTCTCGTGGTGGCTAAGCATGGTCCAACTGTGACACCGTAGCAAGGTTGTACCCTGAGACAGACAGTAGCCCATATCCTCCCAAGCACAGTTAGGACTGAGGGCATCTGTCTCTGTGGCCTTGGACATGGTGAACCTGTTTGAGGTGTCTGAGGAGAGGATTGAGCTCAGTCTTGGGGAGCTAGTGTCCTAAGGACCCTGACTCGGCTGTGTCTCTGGGTACCGATGCGGTGATGAAAGCTGGTTTGACACCCAGGGAGCGATACCACACATCAGGAGCCCAGAGCATCCATGTCTGAAATCCAAGTTACCATGGCAGATGAGCCACAGCCAGAGTTCAGAAATGCAATATGTTGAGAGTTGGGGGGGCAGACATGTATCTCGGGGCTAATAAGCTGGTATGCTTCCTCTGGGAATACGTGTCTATTGTTTCTTACTGTATGGAAGCAGAAATTAAGATTCAAGGTGATGTCCTGGTTAAAGGTCCCCGTCCCTGCTGCCTGCCCACCACATGAGCCAGGCACTGATCTGGTGTCTTTGGGTGCCATTGTATACCTAACTGTGGAAGGAACATGGCTTTGCAAGGTTCAAGTTCTCACTCTTTAGATCTTAAAGTCACACACAGTAGGGTTACAGTGATTGGTTTCCTAGCCACAGGAGTGCAGTGACTCCGGCGTAGAGCAATGCCTTCTGTTACTGAGTTAGCAGAGTGTGTATTATTTTGTTCCAGTCACACAGAAACCACACAGTGAGTTTTAAGCAGGTGATATTTACTATCAAGATCGGCTAAACCATGGTGACTGGGAGAGCCGCTCTAAGACATTAGAACTCAGCAGGGTCCCTAGGGAAGTGTCTGGAGGGGAAGGTGGGGTGTGGTAAGATAGCTGCCCACTGAAGAGGTGTCGAGGATGGCTCCTGGTGCCACGACACAGCAGATGATGAATCCGATGGCATTATTGGAATGTATGGGTCTGCAGATGGAGTGAGGACAGCTGGGTGAATAGGAGGCCTGAAATGGCCATGCTGTGAGGTTAATACATCAATAGCGTACAGCAGCAGCACCCAGAGCCTCTACCGAGATGGGAGGTTCCTTCCAGCACCCAGCCCAGCTCTCCATTCAAGTCGTTTCCTCCTAGACATCGTGTGTCAAACACTGACCAACACAAGTTGTTTCCAGACTTGGGTTGTAATGAATAGTTTTGATGAATGTTACTTTTGAGATCCTGCAACTAAGGAACTCTTCCTCCAAGTTAATTGCCTGGGGGGGTATTGGGGGGGGTGATGCATGGTGCAGCACGTTTGGGAGCTACCCGAACCGTTCCTGCAGAGGGTCTGTGATACTTCACCTTCCCACTAACATGGGAGATTCTGTCTGTTCTGCCAGTCCTCCCAGCCTTTGATACTGTCCGGACTTTGCCCCCGACCACTGCTGTAGATGCTGGCAGCTTCTAGCACTTGTGTGTAGTCTGCTGTCCAGCACATGCTCAGATCCCGTGGCTAAGGTGCCGTCCATCCGCCTTCACAGGCATCCACTTACCTCCAGCATTCTCTCATGGCCGCGCTGTGCTTCAGGTCATTGTAGAGCGTTGTCTTCCTGATGTTAGGGATGTGTTGTTGTCGTTCCCTGCTGGTGTGTGTCACCAGCGTTTGAAAACCAGACCTGGGGAGAGAACTGGGTGTGGGCACGCGTGTGGTCTTGCTCTAGTAGACGTTCAGCCTGTCCTCATCATTGCAGAATCAGAACAGGGTTTAAGTGTTCTGTCTGGGTTACATGATTTGCCAGTTCTCCCATTCTGTGGTTTGTCTTTTAATTCTCCTGTGTTGTATGGATCCAAGTTTTAAATGTTGATCAAGCCTACTTTATTTTTTCCATGGCTTAAGCTTCCCTGTGTGGGGTCTGAGCTAAAAGAGTCTTCCTTAGGTTTTCTGCTGAAAGCCTAGTTCAGGGTTAAGTCCATGTGGTATCTGGGGTGAGTTCTTGCCTAGTGTATGAAGAGGTAATTTTCATCTACGGTTTTCCAGCTGGTCAACTGTAATCTACTGAGAAGACCACTTTCCTCACTAACTTGCCTATGCAACCGTGATGAACGTCAGTTACCCACACTTGGGTGAATGTGTGGACCGTGCCAGCACCATGCCATCTTCATTTCTTTGGCGGGATAGTGAGGCTTAACATCGGCGTGTGGTTCCAGCAGCTTAACTCCTGTTTTCAAAGTTCCTTTAACTACAAATGTCAGTTTTCAACTTTAAGTTTTGCAGTGCTGGGGATCAAATCCAGGGCCTGTACCTCCTCGGCAAGTGTTCCACCCCTGGGCTATTCCTCCCGACACTCTTGCACATACCCGTGTTTTATTTGCATGTAGGGGTGCACACATGCATGGCATGCATGTGGAGATCAGAAGAAAACCTCAGGTGTCGGTCCTCATCTCCCGTCTTGCAGGCTCCTCTTGGGCACTAACTTTACTCCGAGACAGCTGCCCTGGAGCCTGCAGGGCTCCTGTTCCACCTCTCGTCTTGCTGCATGCGTGGATTACAGACACACATGACCACATCTGGCTTTTACGTGGGTTCTGGGGATCCAGACTCCAGCCCTCACATTTGCATGGCAAGGGCTTCTCCTCTGAGTCATCTTCCCAGGCCCTCAGTCTTAGAACTGGCTGTCTGTACCTACAGGAAGTCATTTTGGGTTCTTAATTGGAGTCATATTGCACCTGTGAATCACGAGGGGAGAACTACCGATTACTACGTCCCAATCCGTGAGCATGGTATTTTTCCGGTTCGTAGCTCTGACCTGTCTTGTGTGGGGGCCATCCTCAGCAAATAGCTGCTGAGCATGATTTGTCAGACATGCTCAAACGGTTCTTACCTTTCCTCTTCCTTTTCTTATCTTCTGTTTCAAGTAACACGGGGCTGCAAGTGCTGGTCTCTAGCTGTTCATCGCTAGTCTGTAGAAATACAACTCATTTGGGGTGGGCATGTTCACATCCTCTAATAACCTGGCTGGATCCACCCACTAGTTCAAGGAGGTTGTTTGATTGATTTTGTAATATGTTGGGGATTTTCACATAGACCATCACGTCTTTTGCAAATAGGAGCCTTTTATTTCTTCTTTCCAAAATTTTATTTATTTCTTTTTCTTGCCCTATTTCCCTAAATAGGATTTGCATTACTGGGTCTCATAGAAGCAGGAGGAGTGGGCATCCTGTGTGTGTGTGTGTGTGTGTGTGTGTGTGTGTGTGTGTGTGTGTCCGTCCCTGTGTGTCCCATATATGTGACTCAGCATGCATGTAGAGGTCAGAGGCAACTTGTGAGAGTTGGTTATCTTCTATAATGTGGGTTGTTCAGGGAGCAAACTCAAGTCCTCAGGTTTGGCAGCAGGATCCTTCACCCACCAATGCAGCCAGGCTGGACACATGAGTTCTAGGCCAGCCTGTACTACAGAATAAGACGTAACTCAAGCACTAAAAAAGTGGAAGGATCATACTCGGAAAACAATGAGAGGTAAAGATTAGTGGACACACTAGACAGCAGCCTCATCACCGCCAGCTCCCTCCTAGCTGTAACTATGTGCTGATCTGACATGGCCAGGTTCCACAGCATGACCACAAACAGAAGCTCCATGGTAAAGACGAGTAGGCTTCATGACAGTGCCAGAGTGGCCACACGGTCTGCTTAACATCTAGGAATTCCCTTGGTTGGTTACTCTGAACAAAAGCTGTTGCTGCCCAGACGCTGTACTGGGGTGCTGGTTGGGTCGTGCTGGCAGTGTTTCACAACTTCTGAGGAGTGCACAGAGATGGGATTCAGGAACAGTGTTTAAGAGTGGGCAGACACTGACCTCCATCCACCCTGGGGCCCGGGCCAAGGACAGGAGGAGCCCTTGGCTCGGGCCTGATTGAGGTTCATTCCCTGACAGCTGTGATTTTCCAAGATTTTCAACCGTCTAATTTCAAAAACCATTTGGTCTCTGATGTAGGTGGAAGCCACTCGCCTGCTCTGACCCACATGTCTCCTCCTTCTGCAGGTGACCCCAGGATTCGAGGAAAAGGAAGGAGAGCTGCTAGTTAGGGGACCCTCTGTGTTCCGAGAATACTGGGATAAACCAGAAGAAACGAAAAATGCTTTCACTTCAGATGGCTGGTTCCGAACAGGTAGGAGCAAGCTCTGAAGTGGCAGAGGGGACTGCTCTTGAGGGAGGTCTGCTCGGTGTGGATGTTTCTTGGTCTGTGTGTTCTAGAACCTCCCACTGCAGGCAGAGGCTGTTTGGAGACTGCCGTTTTGACACATTTGTGGGTGCCCCCGCCTCCTGCAGGCTACTGGAAAGAGAGTCTAAAGGCTCACTGCCCTTATAAGGAGCCTGGAACCCTTATCCCCAAGACATATAGCTCTTACTCTGTCCCTCTGCCAGCTGGCCACATTGCCACAGCCTTGTTGATGCCCCATGATTCTGCACCTACTGCCCCTGAGGTCAGGACCTCCTCTCCCTTTTGGGTATGCCGCCGCTCCTGTCCACCCACACAGCCACACTCTTGCACTCTGAAAATCTCTCCCTACGTTGAGGTTGGAAGCAGGTTCACTCACCATTACTTGTTTTGGTTTGGTTGTTAATTTGCATATTCTAGTTTGGTCTCCTCTGTGTGGTCTGTGGGGCTCATGGGTGAGTACAGTGGACCCAAGCAGGCTGGGAGACACACAACATATACTGTAACTTCCCCACCCATGTGTCTGTTCTCCTGAGACCCCCTCCTCATCCTGTGGGAATCCCATGTCCTGAGACAGTATGGCTGTAAGCTGTGTCTATCTGCTGGCCTGATTTTTACCTGGAAGTTCATCAACATCACATGACTTACTGCCCTCAGGATGTCAGGGTTCTGGGAGTTTTTCCTTTTGGCCCTTCTGTATTTCTAACATTTTTGTGTACATGGTTACTTTTCTAGTTCTTAAGATAATACTTTCCGAAAGGAAAGGCCTGTTTCCCATGTGACACCCTGGCCATTGTGACAGAGGTAGTTTCACCCCATGCTCTTTTGGGAAGCAAAGCCTTGTGGGGGGGGCCTGAGTGGGTACTGTGGCTCCTCTGAGAGAGGGAGGTCTGGAGGTAAGGAAGCAATCTATACGTTTGCCAAATGTGACCCTCAGTCTGGTGGCCCCGGAACATGTGTTATCCCAGCTACCTTGGGCCAGTATACTCTAGACAGGCGGGGGCATCAATCAGACACCTTCAGGGAGCGCCCAAGGTAGAGACCCACGAGCTCCTGAGCCTGCCCGCCACTATTCCAGGGTGTCACCAGCTCAGGGTAGGGGAAGCTGATGTGATTATATCGGTAGATCAGTGATGGCACGCATATAACCCACAGCTCCCCGGTGCTCCTCTGTAAACACCCTGGTTAATGCCAGCTGTCTGGGGGAAACAAACCTCCCGCTATTGTCCCTCAATGCAGTGTGTAGGAAACCCTGCTTTTGAGAGAATCCTGCTTTTAGCAGCCCCCTCCAGCAGCCTTCTGAATAATCCCTGTGGGAATCCCAACTTGCTTTGTGGTCACCTTCTTGTGTTTAGGTTTGGGTAAAAACGCTGTGTTCTTCCCTTTAAAAACACAGGGATCAAGCCCTATAGGCTTCACTGATGCCGGGACTCATGGAGCCCTGGGGTGCAGCAGGAGCCACGTGGGCAGTGAGCACTCCGGGTGGGCCTTTCTGCCGAAAAGGAATAGCATGCATTAATTATTGTAAAGAGATGTCTTCAGGAGAAAACGATTTTGAAATTCAGTTTAATTTCATTGTAACGTGCTGCAAACAGGAAGGGAGTGTGTGTGTTTAATTGGCTCTCGGGGGTAAGGCCGGGAGCTGGCAAGCCTTTGTCACAGGCCATTAGCGATACAGACTGCATAATGAGAGCGTGCAATCAGCTCGCAGCTGCCGCTCCTACGGGGAGAGCATGATATTAAGTAGAAATCAGGATAAATTAAACTTAACCCTTTCCCTAGCTGTCCCTCCTGCCACTCGGATTGTGGCATAAGCTGGAGAGAAAACTGTCCCAGGCTCTTGGGAAGGGCCTTATCCCCAGCTCTCCCAGGTCATCCTCGGGGTTAAGATGAGAGGATGGGGTCACCCACCTGATCCCTAATGCTCCCACCTTCGCCACCCTACTTCTGCAGTTCTTCTTGCCCCAGAGGATGTGTAGAGAAACTCACAAGGTTGGTGGCTACTCAGGAAGGAGCAGAGGCCTCCCTCGCTGCCAGAATTAGTCCTCCTAACTCTGAGACGCCCAACAAAACTGTTTGGAATGTGTGGCCTACCTATGGCCCTGTGATTGTGGAGCTGGGCCCAGGCAGGCCGTCACAGGTGAGCCTGGAGTGCAGAGTTAGACTGGTGGTGGTGGGTGAGAGGAGGAGACAGCAACTCTTCTGGGGTTGGTTAAGGACCACCAAGGCTAAAGAGCAGGGTCAGACCCCTACAGGAGAGTGGGTAGGATCTTAGGAGCTATGAGTCACTGCCATCAGTGTGCACGTTAACATGTACGGTTACTAATACACCAGCAAGGCGGGGCCTTAGAGAACTGTCCCCTGATCTGAGGAGAGTCACCAGGGACCTCCAAGCTACCGGGAGAAAGAGAGAGAAATGCACTCGCTCTTCCAAACGGGCCTTCCCTCTACAGATACCCCACCTCCAGATTTTGTACCCTGCCTCCATGTGTGTCCAGCTGTTGGGGCTCTGCTGTTGTCCGTTTTGTGTGGCTAGCTTTGGGGGTTTTGCCCTTCCATGTTGATCGACACTGGACCATCGTGTACTTTTGGAGGGTTGGGCTGCAGAATGTCTTAAACACATGGCTTTAGATGGTTTTCAGATGTAATCTGTTGACCTTTACCCATGCCCTCCATAGGACTGGTGGTACTGTGAGTCAGGGTCTGTGAACCCCTGAGTCCCCTCTGCAGATGACAGAGGCTGGTTGTTTGCCTGCAGGATTGGAATCAGCCAAGACCTGGGCTGGGAGCCAACCTTGCCTTCCTGCACCATAGTAACTGTACATGGTGGGCAGTCTGTGCTAGCGTGCCCATCAGGAGAGCAAGGCCTCAGCAGGGAGAGCATGAGGTAGCAGAGCCCCAGAGGCACTGGGTGTCTTAGGGGTTGGAATCCTCCAGGCAGGCTGTGCTACCCCTAATGTGGATTTCCATGGGGACGTGGGACATGCAGAAGCCAGAGCTTAGCCTGGAAGAGGCCACCCCCGATGATGACACTGTCCACTACTTACCACATACCTGATGTGGGCCAGGATAGCCAGGCAAGAGAGTGACACTACCCCATCTGCGCTGCCATCTGTGCCGAAGGCTCCATTTTCTCCTCTGCTCTCAGTGTGTGCCAAGTTCTCGTGAGGTTCTGTACGTGTTTGGTCAGGTTAGTACCAAGTGCTGCTGTGAGGCCTCCCTAGCTCTCCTTAGGCTTCTCCAGCGTGACCTCTAAAGGTTAGCATTGATGTATTGGAGAGCTTTAGGTTTTTTAATCAATTGTCGATTGATCAAGCCCCAATAGTCTTCCCATAGACCCTCAGCATCACAGTCAGTGGAGGCGTGTATAGGTCTTCCTTTCTGACCACTGAGCTCCCTACTCTTGCCTTGCTGTGTGACTATCACCTGGGAGGATGAGAAAATAGCAATACCTTCCTGGCTGGTGGAAACGAGAAAAAGGAGGTCACCTGGCACCCTCTGTGCTTTGTTCCCAATGGTAAGTCCCTGGCCTCAGGTGCAGTGTGTGGACCAAACAGGCCGGGGACCACAGGAAGGTGGCCTCATCACCCTGGTGCCAGAACGGTATGAGTACTAACAGAATCTATCCCTGGTTTGTTCCTATTTAGTGAGCTGCGAACTCTAGGCAGGAGTTTACAAGCTAAAATCTGAGTTATGTGCCTGTCCATGGCTTAGACTCTCCTAACCCGGTCAGCCCAGAAGACTCAAGACTCCAGGATAATGTTAATGTGAAAACAAAAAACCACTGCTGCTTCCATCCTCTCCCCCAGCCTTGCTGGTGGATTCTGGGATGCCGACCCCCATTCCCACATCATGAGCTAGTATTGCCACTTGGTAGCTCATACTCTGCCATCCTCTGCTGGACCCTACTCCCAAAATGGTGCCCACAGCCCATTTAGTCCACAGGTATTTGCTTGGTTAGCTCGTGCTGGTGATGCTACCTGCCTGTGCCAGAGAGGCCAGGATCCGTAGGTCTCAGGTGCCTACAGTTCCTTCTTGAGGCCCTGCTCTTTCCCAAGGCATCTAGAGGCCTGTGATCAGTATACACTTGTGCGTTCTTTCTTTGCTTTGTGGCGCTCCTGCTCTACAGTTCTTGATCACCTGGTGCCTGTCTGCCTTCTGGCATTCAACTTCTTAAATATAATTTCTTCTGCTTGTTCCCTAGTTTAGCATTTATGCCTTTAAAATCAAATAAACTATAGTTAATTTTGTCTGAGGGTTTCCTAGCTGGGTCTGGTCTGCCACTGTCCCAAGCAGGTTTGGGTGAGGTTTAGAATCCTGGGAAGTTATTGCATCTGTTCTGCTTTTATTCCTTGCTCTTTCTAATACCTCCCTAGGTTCTGCCCCCAGGCTCAGGTCTCAGAGGCTTTCTGCTTTGGTGCCAGTGACAGCTGGCTCCCCTCTGCCAAGGTCACAATGCCTCCCCTTCCCTGCCTCAGCCACCTCCTCTATCAGACCGGAGAGGCCCAGGTGGGATTGAAGCTGCTGGGAGACAGAACTGGCAGATGTGACAGAGCAGCCACAGGATAGGTAGTCCTGGGTCCCCAAAGCTTTGAGGACCAAAAGCCCAAGTATAGGATGCCACTCTGCAGCTGCCTGTGGATGCCTGGCATCATGCCAGACTAGCAGCCCTCAGTCCTCAGCAGAGTGGACGCCGTGCTATTGTTTATAGGGTCCCTAGCCAGGAGAGTGAACTGGCCGCAGGAAGTGCTTCCCTCAGGGAAGGCTCCTCAGGGAAGAAGGCACTGGCTCCTACTCCATCCTTGCATCCAGAACCCGAAATCCAACTATCACAGGTTTATTTTCAATTACAGTTTAAGGCAGAGACATGAACTAGCACTGGGTTTGAAAGCAGTGCATAAATCCATGTAATAAGATTTTATTGATCGCATGCTGTTTCTGTCGGAACAAAATTCCCTCGATGCACACGTCAGGTCAGACCAAGGAGGCACATTGGCAGGAGGCTAAATCCAGATCAATGCATTCTGACAAATATGTTGTTATAAAAAGTAAAAGTTACTTAACTTGTTTGATGTGCTCTTCAAAATGAAGACTCTGTCTTTAACTCTCGGCCCAGCAGCCTGGTGTCTCGGGTGCTTGGGGCTTCTCCCCTGCCTGCTTGCCCTAGCCTCCCTGTCTTTAATTAATAATTGAATTAATAATTATTTAATTTGGCCCTTGGTAATGGGGTTGTGCTGAACAGGCCAGGATAAGCTGGAGGGGCCAAAATGGCTCCACACTGAGAGGTCTAAAGTCAGACATTAGGTGAATTTCTAAGGGATTAGCTCAGGACAGTAAAATAGCAGGAGGCTGCTTGAGTCTGTGACATCCAGGAGATTTCCTATGAATGAACTAGCCAGAGATAGGGCAAGAGCAGGGGATGGAGGGCAGAGGCACAGTAGTGCCAGGAAGAAGGAACACAGCACCGTGAGCAGCTTAAGGATGACTGTGCTGGAGATCCCAGCTGGCAGTCTCCTGGCAGGACCTCAGGACCCTGGGAGGTACCCGAGCTTTCTTCTGAGAAAACAGGAAGCCTTCTGCCCAAGGGTACACACAGGGTAAGGATTTCTGCCGAAGGATGCAGAATGACCAGGATGAGCCAGGCTCACAGCCTCCTGATATCCTGGCATAGACAGCTCAGCCACTGAGGCAGCCCGACCGAGTTAGGCTGCAGTCATGGAAGATGGACCTCAGCCCCATGCCAATTGAATCCGCTTGGCCTCCCTCTGTCATGCTAACACTAAGTACAGCTTTCTAATGATGACAACATCCCCTCCCTCCCAGAAACCTAGTGGCCTGAAGAGTATGCCCCCTCCATCTCTGCCTTGTGGGTATTGTGAGCAGCACCATGCTCCTTTTTAGAGGCAACACCCTTCTATATTCCCACCCAGGAAAGGAAGCCAAGGAAGTAGTTACCATCTTTTAAAACCTGGAGATAGCCCAGGACCCAACACAGTGAGGCCCCAGGGCACATCTAGAGTAGTTCTTATGTGGAGCCACGGATGCTCAGCATATGTGGAGTGAAGACCCAGCACAGTGCCCTGGAGCAAAAGCAACTCAGCCTGTGTGGTGGCCGGCAGTGGGAGGACCAGGTCCTGCTTCTGTCTCCACTGGGGACACCACCATCCAGATCGTCTCCCATACACTCCCGTGTACTCTGTGAATTCCCAAACTTAGTTTTTATGAGGACGTGGATGCTTGGTGTCCCCTCTGTGCCTGGAAGGTACCTGTGTAAGCAGCATTACTGGGAGGGTGGAGTTAATAATAGAGCCTCTGGTTGCGGCTTACCTTCAAACTTTGGCTTGGCTATCCTTTCTAAGCTTGAGATCTGTCCACAGAAGCCACCCTGGATAACCTTGGAGGCCACACCGGGGTTTCCCCTCTGCCTGATGCCATGTTATTTACAGTTCATAATTTCCTACAGTCTACGAGCCCTCGACTCCAGCATGCTCTGCTGGTCCTTCAGGCCTTTGAAGGCCGAGGATACCAAGTGGCCTAGAGAAAGTAGAGTCCCTAAGACTCCTGGAGAGAGTAGTGTCCCTAAGACTCCTGGAGAGAGTAGTGTCCCTAAGACTCCTGCAGAGAGTAGTGTCCCTAAGACTCCTGGAGAGAGTAGTGTCCCTAAGACTCCTGGAGAGAGTAGTGTCCCTAAGACTCAGACAGTGACAAGAGCAAAAACATGGCTGGAGCCATGGAGGTGCCACTGTGCCATGCTGCAAAAGGCACGGGACCCCTCTGGTTGGGGTGTTGATGGGAGGCCTAGGCTGCTTGTCGTGCCTCAGACTCTGCAGTGAACATGCCCGGTCAGCAGAATGGAATCCAGTCGTCCAAGTAGAAATGGAGGCCTGGGCTGGGATGCTCCTGTGAGCACTGCAGAAGCCTGGCATTTTCTCCTCCCAGCCATCACCTGGGCATAGGCACCAGCTGTAGAGATTTAGGCTGTCTTGATGGCCAAGGTTGACCAAGGGCAAGCGCACCCCCAGCGGCTCAGACTCCGTAGTCGGCATTGTCAGAGCTGTGAGAACACGCTGGTGTTGAGGTCCTCCGGACTGTAGGAAATCATGAGCTCTAAGCGGCATGGCACTGGGCAGAGGGAAACCCCGGGGTGTGGCCTCCATAGTTACACCCCAGAGTGGGTCTATAGACAGAGCATGAGGTAACATGTAAGTTTATGAAGGATAGCCAAGTCAAGGATGTTTGAAGTCACAGGCAGAGGCTCCATTCTTAACTCCATCCTCCCAGGAACGCTGCTAACACAGGCACCTTCCAGCCAGAGAGGACACTAAGGTAGTCAGACACTGGCACCCATCATCCTACAGTGTCCCCAAGCCATGGCAGCTACTGTTGCCGGACTCAGGAGGGGGCTTTGCAGAGCTGGTGTCCTCAGAGGGCAGGCACCTTGCATCCCCATGACAGGCGTTTGCTGTGGAGCAGCCCGGCCCTCTGCACACCCCTCCACCGGCACCATAGCCTCTGTTCTCCAGTCCTCCGCACTCCAGCCTTTCGCCCAGAGAGCTAGTCACGCGCTCTCCCCTCTCCGATCCACGGCATCTCCTCCCTGAGGAGCAATCAGCCTGACTCCCCAAATGTGTGATCCTGTATGTCACACGCAAGAGCCAGTCCTCAAGCGCTGGCACTGGGTCCACCTAAGAAGAGACTGTGCCCAGCGATGCCCACATCTCTTTTCTCAAGAGAGAGGAGCGGCCTGGGAGCCCAGCCTCAAAGCAGGAACTTGTGCGTGCAGAACTCTGGGGCCCCTCAATGCCAGGCTTCCACCTCACTGTGGAGGTTGAGCAACCTGATAGCTACAGGGTAGGATAATCCAGTGGAAGACTAGGCTTTCCAGTCTGAGGGGCACAGCTGGACCCAGAGCTACAACAGGGATGGGATCATGGAGGGTCCCTTAGGACTCAGGACAAGCCATGTGTACCCCATAGCCCACACCTGGGTCCTCTTCCTCCAGTCAGTACCTGCCCAAGGGGCTATCCTCATCTAGGCTGAGGCCATCCATCCAGCTCTTCTGCCACCTGCTACATCCAGCGCTGCCACACTGGAGAGAGAACTGCCCAGTGCCAGTCCTTGCTCCAGGGGCTAGCCTTCCCCCTCTACCATAAATAAGCCCTGGGCTCGTCCAGGCCACCCATCCATCTTGTTTAATAGACTGGAGTGTGCCCTGTACTGCAAGTCCCAGGGAGTAGTAAGGTGATGGATGGTGCCTTCCCATGTCGGACTACGTGATGTATAATGAAATATTTATGATTTATTCCAGCTAATAACCCACAGGGAGTGCAGGGAGCGTGTGAACAGACATCTCTGCTGTCAGAGCTGCCGCTGACATCTGCATGCCGACACACAGTCATAATCATGCAAATGTGTGTGCATGGACATGCAGGCGCACTAATGTGCAGACACACACCTCCCCCACGCCATTGTGCAGGAGGGAGCCTCAGCTGGAAATACAGCCCTGTGTTCTGGCCTGGTCCCTGCTCCTGATACTGCCAGTGTTTCTGTGGGGTCCCAGACTCCCTTGTGAAAAGAGCCAAGTGGGACAGTTATTTTGCTTAGGGAGAAAAGCACCATCGCTATTTGGGGGTGGTGGGACTCAAGAGCAGGGGGACGTTCGTCACAGGGTATCCCCGTGTCAGAGAAGGAGCTGAAAGTGACCAGGACCCACCCATGGTAGGATGGCAGAGCTATGTGGATAGGAGTGGAACCGGGCGGGAGGGTGCCCTGCGTGTATCTACGTGAAGCTGTGCATGGATTGTGTCAGGGTCAAGGCTTCTGCTTTCCTGCTGTAGTTCATTCTGAGTCAGAGTCATAGGCAATAAACCGCTTGCTGCTGTTTTCTGAAAATACCACACACTGTTGCCCTTTTCTCTGACAAAAACATGGCCCACACTGGCTTACAAGTTCAGGGTATTTACAGACCCCAGAGGCCCACTGGGTTCCTAGCATGCCATGGATTCTGGTGGGCTCTACTCCCCACCGCTGGCTGTGAGGCAAGGTGCTGGTATCATAGGGATAGAGAATGGAGAGGGACACATGTCGTCAGCACCAGTCCCCACAGGAGGTGGGCCCGGACACTGGAAATAGTGGGTCTCACATATATGCACGTGGCCCCCGAGGACTCTTGTGGGTGGTGATCAGGATCACCAAGGTCTCCTGTGACCAGATACTCCCAGACTGTCCAGAGCTATCACAGAACCCCCTTTTCTAGGAGACACCGCTGTGTTCAAGGATGATAGGTACTGGATCCGAGGGCGTACGTCAGTGGACATCATCAAGACTGGAGGCTATAAAGTCAGCGCCCTGGAGATTGAGCGGCACCTGCTGGCCCACCCCAGCATCACAGGTGAGGGAATGGTGACCTCGGGTTTAGTAGAACACTGCCCTCCGGACACAGTACCACCTTTTCTACTCTGTTAAGTGTTGGCTGTCGAGGACCCTCTTCTACCTGCTAGGAGGGATCCTGTGAAATAAATGTGTTCCTGCTCCCTCCCTGGCCTTCAGCACACAGGATCCTGATGGCAACCCCGGGCTGCTGCCCGCTATTCCAGAGGGGCCCACAGACCTGGCCAGAACATACACCTGCTCTGCAGATCAAGCAAGAGCAGGCTGAGCCCCTGGAGACGCCGCCCCACTCCCATGAGGGACACTCCCAAGGTCTTGCTCCAGGTGCTTGGGCATTGCATTAACTGCCTGGCATTACCCACACATGCCTGAGCGCTATTCAGCCTGTAGTGGTCGTCAGGGCCTTCCAGGTATCCTCAACCTGTTCTGCTGTCTTCAGATGTGGCTGTGATTGGAGTTCCGGATATGACATGGGGCCAGCGGGTCACGGCTGTAGTGGCCCTTCAAGAAGGACACGCACTGTCGCACAGGGATCTCAAGGAGTGGGCCAGGTAGGGCTAACGGGCTGTTGTGGGTTCTAAGGTATCTAAGGGAATGTCTTGGGATGGGAGGATGGGAAGGGCCTGTTCAGGAGCTGGGAAGCAGGGGTGAACCATTCCCGATTTTGGAAATGGGGAGGAAGAAGCTGAAAAGGTCAGCAAGGTGGCCCCCAAGCGGCTGTCTTTCCTCATTAAGCGCGGACCTGGAAACAGGAAGGGCCTCCGCCTGCACGCTGGATTGGGAGTCAGGAGTAGTCTGAGGCAGAGATGTGTGTTTCTCAGTTTACAGATAAACCCCACAGCATTGTGAGGCTGAGGACCCTCACCTGGCTAATCCAGCGCTAGACTGAGCAAGAGCCCTCTCCGTACCCTGCCAAACTGGCACAGCCCGCCACAGAATGGCCTGGGCCCAGCAGCCTTTTCTGTTCTGCCCTGAGGGTGGCCTCATGCCTCAGCCTTTCTGTGGAGCCTCCACCGCCTGGCGTACCACCCCTAGCTCTCGGTGTCTGTGGACTGTGCCCGCAGCTCCCTCCTCAGACCCAGGGTGGGGCACTTTCCAGCCCATCACCTGCACTTGCTCGTCTCGTTTTTTGTTTTTCGAGACAGGGTTTCTCTGTGTAGTTTTGGTGCCTGTCCTGGATCTTGCTCTGTAGACCAGGCTGGCCTCGAACTCAGAGCTCTGCCTGCCTCTGCCTCCCGAGAGCTGGGATTAAGGGCTTGTGCCACTTCCAACATGCTGGCTTTTTTTTTTTTCCACCCTCATCCTTTGTGTTAGACTCCAGTGTCTCTCATGTCAGCCCCTGGTGGGTTCTGATGTCCCCCCAGGACCCATAGGACGGAGGGGCTCACTGGGACCTTCACAGCTGGGTAGGCCACCTTGATCTTCCACTGTGGCCCAGGAGGAGACCCCTGGGTTTTAGATGGGAGAAGTTCTCTCCTTTCTGCTGTGTCTCCCCCTGCCCCACCCCCACCCCCGCCTTCTTCTCTTCTTCTCGGCGTAGGACTATTTTTGGCTGCCCAACAAGACTTCACAAACAGCAGGAGTCCTTGTTTCATCAGGGGCCGCACAGCTGGGCAATTACCGATTCCCCTGGATTTGCAAAATCACAGTTGGAGCCTCTATGGCTTAGCAGAGGCAACAGTCTGCTTGGCCGCTTGCTCGCTGGCTGCTTTGATTAAACAATTACTTTCTTGAGAAGAAAAACACCCAGGCATCCTCTGCTGAGAGCCACAGTGGTTGCTGGGTGGAGGTCCTACCCTGGCCTGGATTCCTTAGGCCATGGCCCGTGTCCATGAGTGCTTCCCCTCGTGGCCTGTCTCTAAGCTTCGAGTTGGGCTCCTTGCTTGGGTGTTCATGTTGAGTATAAGAAGACCCTGAGGTTTGGAGCATCCTGGGTGTTGTGGCTGTGTACAACAGGACAATGCAAGAAAGACGGTCAGACATGGGCAGAGCCAAGTTGCAGACTGCCCACAGGGAATTGCCTGCCCCTCAGATGTCGCCCCCACAGTGGGAAGCCTCCCCACACGTTGTTTCTTGGGGAGGGGTCCTGAGGAGATAGCCCCACTTTTAACCCCCACACCTACCCACTCCCCAGAGAACAGTGTCTAAGCCTCCTCCAAGTGCCTCCTGCAAGGGAAGGCTGGCCTGCCACTGGCAGAGGCCTTGAGGCCCGGGTGTTCCTCTCCCTCATGTGGTGTCCTGGCCATGCCTGGTGGGTGCTGCTTGCTGCTGGTGACCCACACTTTCTCCCCTGGAGCCCTGCTTGCCATGCCGTCTCAGGACACAGTGCTGGGCTGTCCAGTTACCACTAAAGAGAGGCAGGTGGGGAGGAGAGACAGGAGTGCTCCTCCTGAAGTTCCAGAAAGAGACAGTGTCTGGAGAGGGAACTAACGGAGCACCAGGGTTTCTCCGTATTGATTGAAAGGGAGAGTTGGGCACAGTGGCTCACACCTGTGATTTAGACATTGAGGTAACAGATGTGGGAGTGTGAAGCGTTCAACCCGGTCTTGGCTACATAGCAAGTTCAAGGCCAGCCTGAGCTGTGAGATGAGAGAGATTCAGGAGGAAGCAGAGAGAACCCAGGTGTCGCTGTTATCCACAGAGTGGGACCTCACAGCAGCCCAGTTTTCTTGAGGAGGTGCCTCACAGCCTCAAGTGTGTCCTTGGATCTGGTAGTGCCAGAGCTGACCCAAAGCCAGAGGCTGAAGAGCTGTGTCTGGGAAGCTGAGTTCCCAGCTGAAAACTTTACCACAAAGCAAACGCCAGGCCCAGAAGGCTCTGTCAGCAAATGATACTGAGCACCTCGGGGGACATGCCACAAAGTGCATACAAGTCCTTTCCGGTGGGGAGGGACACTCCCAGCTGACTTCATGGGACCCACGACCCTGCTACCAAAACCAGACAAGAAGCCCAGACCAGTTTCCTGTCAGACAGACACAAAATGCTTAACCAAATGCTGGAAATTAGGTCCTATTCACAAAAGAGCCAACACATCATGATCGTGTGGCACTTATACCCGAAGTGTGAGGTTAAACATTCAGACGCCCGTCCGCGTGGCGTGCCGTGTTTACAGAGGGAAAGCCGTGCAGTCTTTTCAGTTGACACGGAAAGAACGTCTCCAGATCCCAGTGCCACTTGCAGGAATTCGCAGCAGCACCAGAGAGGAGACGTTCCTGAGCTGAGGAAGGGGTTCGGAGGACCACCAGCAGTCGACTGGACCTTTCCTCCCGTGTTCAGGGCAAGCGTCCCCACCGCCTCTTCCCAGTCCCACGCAGACACACAGTTATCCAGACGCTAACGTGTCTGTTACTTGGGATGGGGCCAGAAGTCCAGCCCGTGGTTGTGCTGTGCCTCCCTGTCTGGTACCGGGTGCCAGCTGGCCACTTCAGCCCATGGTAGAGGTTTGTACCCAGTCCCCACGTGACACTGCACACTGGACCTCCCTGTAAAAAGCTGCCCAGTTTCTACATAGAAATACACAGGCCAGGCAGGCAGGACAAACGGAGAAAGACGGGATGCCAGGAAGCAGAGCAGGACCAGAAGCCACACAGAGGGGAGATGGGCCCCTGCGAGGCCTGGGATCCCTTCCTTGTGGGGTCTCCAAAAGGAGCCCTTGGGGTGAACATCATAGGGAGTAAAGCCAGTCCAACCAGAAGTGGGGACACAGTCCCACAGTGGGCAGAGAAACAAGGCCCAAGTGCCACAGGGCACCTAGCTCTGCTGGGGAGTCTGAGCAGTGGCCACTGCAGGTGGCCAGAAAAGCTGTCACATGAGTCATGAGCATGTGCAGGTCTGTAGTGTAAGAGCCGGTGGGGTACAGACAGGAGCACAGTGTGACACAGAAGGCCATGAGTGGCCTACAGTCTAAAAAGCGCATTTGAACTTAAACGGCACGTGCAACCCTGGATGTATCACTCACGACCCTGGGTAAAGTCAAGACCAGTTGCCTCTGGTCAGTGGAACTTGAGGGCAGCCTAGGATTCTACTCCAGGCCTTACACACGATCTCTGGTTGGGTTGTCCATGTACAGGAACAGGAGAGCATCTGCAGGAGTCACCTGTGGCTGGCCCATGTGGCCTTTGGAGTACATCCCTACCTCAGTGCATCTGAGACTCTGACCAGGACTGCAGCTTTTTTCCTACCAAAAGGAATGTCCCCTGTCTGCTGGTGGCCCAAAAGCTACTTCTCTGTAGTTAACCATGCTTGTCACCTACGGGGGCCACTCTACTGTGCCAGAGTCACCTTTGGAGGGAACAACAATAGGCAAGCCTGTGGTCAGTTCCCTCCAGGGCAGGACAAGACCAGGCAGGATGAGCAGAGCAGGGGCCTCGCTGCCGCCTTCTTCCCTGGTTCCCCCCTCTCCATGTCCACATCCAGTCACTCTGCTGCCTCTGACCTGACTTTGCAGGCCTTGGAGCCGGAGGGAAGAGGATGGTTCTCCCTGCAAAGGGCAAGGTGGCCTATCCTGTTGCCACCCAACACAGAGTCAGGGTGTGAGCCCACCATGACTGCTGGGTATGTCATGCCTACATACTCCCAGGCCGGGCAGTCATCCCAAGCTGTGCTTGTCTCTGCAGAGGTGTCCTGGCACCCTATGCCATACCCTCGGAGCTCTTGCTGGTGGAGGAGATTCCACGGAACCAGATGGGCAAAGTGAATAAGAAGGAGCTTCTTAGGCAGTTCTACCCCTCGTGACCAGAGGAGCCAGCGGGCCAAGGCCGGAGGACAGCAGACACCCCCTGATGATCATGTGCGGTGGGCCCTGCAGCCGGCCCAGAGATCCTTGAATGGAAACAAACCCCTCTCCTGCAATCAGGTTGACCAGATTCGAAAACACTGGGATGAAATCCCCAAGTGAGGCTTCCCCCGCCCTAGTTGATTGTTCGAGCTCGGGTGACCCTGACCACTGGCTGTGCCCATCCTTGAGATCACTGATGTGTGTCGGCCTCACACGCACAGGAAGGACGTGGCTGTGGCCAGCGTGTGGCCAGCTCCCCGGTGCCCAAGGCTGCTGACTCTCCTAGGGGCAGGTCCCAGAGAGTCAGGCCATGCTGAGGAAGGAGATGAAATAAAGACAGAGGACAGTGCCCTGTGCTTCCTGGCTGTGACCTGCAGGTTACATGTCTGCGTGTACATATCAACAGTCATCACAGCTCCCAGTCCACACAGGATGCCAAACCATAGCGCCGGGTGGAGTCTGCAGTGCCCCCCACTAGGATTCCTGCTGCTGGGACTATCACCCCAGAACTGCGTTTAAAGTCCTTGTAGCCACCCAAGGCCATCCCCCAATGGCCCGGAAGCCTGCCTTCCTTGACCCTGCCTCACCCCAGTTAGGGTCTTTCTGGTCCTTCCCTCTGCTCTCTCCCCTTTGCTGCCTTCTCACCAAACTTCCCTGCCGTCCACATCCGAAAGCTTCCCTGACCTCCATCCTCCAGGCCCACGGACACCTTAGTGTCCTGCCAGCTTGGATGTGTGCACATGTGCCCTCAGGCCACATGGAGAAACAGTGTGCTCCCTCCCTCCCTCCCTCCCTCCCTCCCTCCCTCCCTCCCTCCCTCCCTCCTTCCCTCCGCCCCCCTTCTCTCTCCTCTCCTATAATTGTTGAATGGAAGCCGCTCTGGCCCCAGAAACCAGGATGCTTAAGGACCTGTTGGACGTCTGATCCTCCCATAGGCCAGTCCATTCTGGTGGCTGTGTTCCCTAGGGTCGGTGGCAGGATTCCCAGAGGATGCCTGGGCAGCCCATGGGCGCCACCCTGTGCAGCCTCGATCCGCAGCATCACTCTGCATTAGGCCGTCTTGCTCAAGGAAACAGCACAGCTGTTACCGAGCCCAAACCTCTGGAGTCAAAGGGCGATGCAAAATGGCCTCGGGAATGGTGGGGGGTGAGGCTGACTGTAAGCCACAGGCGTGGCCTAAGCAAGGTTGACTTCTGTGTATTACCTAGACCCCAGAAAGGAAGGGAAGAGAGGTGCTGTGAAGGGGTTCCTCATGGTCACAGGCAGCTGCTGGAGCTCAGGCTGCCGTCCTCCAAGCTGCCGTGAAATGTCCCTCCCAGCCCCCGGCTTCCCTGACTGCCTTCAGTATCTCCCCTGCAGAAGCCAGCATCACCCAGAACCTACTTTCCAAAGCAGACGTGTCACAGGCCCGCCCAGACCTCAGTCCCCACGCTTCCCGAAGGCACTCTCACAGGGTCACAGGAGGAGGCACCCCTGCTCTGCACACCTGCTCTGTTGGCTCTTGGCCAGACAGTGAAGCCTTGTATGCCCGGAAGTCGGAGGGCAGCCAGGCCCTCCCCTGGTGAACTGAGCCTGAGAAGACAGTGGGGAAGCCGGGGGGCACTGGTCCCTGCAGGCCCTCCCCCACATCCTCATTGGTAGTGCAGATGTCTGGAGCCCTAATGTGGCCCAGCATAGTGAAAGATGCTGTGGGACCATCATGTAGGCCTGAACCTGACGCTGGAGGCCACAGCAGCTTAGTTCTACAGAAAAAAGAACAGCCTAGCCACAGGAGAGCTGTGGCTTCATGCACGTGTACACACACACACACACACACACACACACACACACACACACACACACACACACACGTCTCTCTTGCCATTCTCTGTATGGCGCCTTCAAGGCCACTGCAGATTGTTATCTAGACACGGCGTCTCTGGCCAGAGTGGGAAACATCCACTGTCACGCTCGTCACAGTCCTACGGTGCAGTGGTGGTGGCTCGTGGTCCTTGTAGAACCTTCTAACACCCAAGGAGACTCTTCCCCAATATCTGGCCCCTGTTGTGTCCCCACTGTGGCCATGAGCAGGGGCCACCCCCACCTGCCCTCGTGGAGCCGAGTGCCCTTGCCAATGTCTACCGTGTGGTCAGTTTAGCTCAGCAAATAGATCGATATCACATTATCCCAATTCACCTTCATAACTCTTAAGTGAGCAGGAACAGAGGGGAGACAGGGTCCCTGGAAATAAATAGCCGTGGAGGCCCTTTGTGATCTATCACCTGGAAACAGTGGCAGCGTCCCGCGCCAGCGGCGGACAAGGTCGTTAATAAAGCCCAGGAAAGCGCTGTCAGCCGCAGTGAAGGATGGCCACAGGTCAGGCACGGGACCTGCCTCCTCCTGGGGGGGTACAAGACACCATTTGTGACCTGAGCCCTCCTCAGGGGTGGGCAGTGAGTGCCGCCCAAGCAGACACACTGTCTGTGGGTGCGTTTGCACATTGAGAGGGGCACTTCTGGCCTCTGCTGCGAACGAAGAAGCATCTGAAAGTTGGAAAGTGGTTGTCATAGTCTAAGAGAGGACCAAGGTGTAGACTGCAGTGCTCAGGCCCAGAGCCCTTGGTGGTCTGCCTCCGTCTATCCTGGCCACCTCCCTGGGCCCCCCCGCCCCGCCACCACCTTTCCTACTTGCCTAGGGCATTTGTGTGTGAGCAGAGGTCCCAGGTGAACACCTATGGATGTTCTGGTGTGTGTGTAGGTGGGACCCATGGACACTTGTCCCTGTAAAAGTAAGCATGTGTGGGTGAGGCTGGTGCCTCTGCACACTGTCACAAGTGACCGTGTTTGTGTTCAGGCTTTTAACAGGAGTCTTCCTGAGGACTGTGGGTGTCCCATGGGGTGCTCAGGTTAGGGTCCGGGTCAGGCTCAGCTGGGTCAGGCACATCTGCATGACCCATCTTTGGTGGCCATTCCCCACTCGCTGGCTCCTCTCTGAAGCACAAGAAGGTCATTGACTTGCAGGGTGTAGCCCCAAATGACAGGCTGATCATCTGCAAGGATGATAGACCATTAAGCTGTCAGTGTCTCTCATCTCAGGCTCCCCCCTCCCCACCCCCGGGGGGGGGGACCAGCAACAGCCAGCAGCCACATGTCAGTGCCTCAGCCATGTTCCCAAGCACCTGCTTTAATAGGAAAGAGCTCTGTCTTAGAAAAGGACAGAGCTCCACCAGGCTGGCTGGGTCATGCACACATGCCAACAGGCACGCATGTATATTGAACATACATAAAACACATGTACACACGGGTGTCCACAGACAACGCAGTTCTGGTCTCAGAAATGTCTCCCTGAAAGAAATAGCTGTTTCAGAAGCTCCGGCAGCCGATGTCGGCGGGAGCAGGGTTAGATGTCTGGAGGAAGGTGTGGGACTCTGCAGTTCCTGACAGGTCATGGGGTCCACAGGACATCTCCAGTTCTGCATTGACCCTGCTTCTAGACACCTGCTCCTGCCCCGGAACAGCAAGCCCACCCAAAGCCAAGAAAAATCACTCTTTAAAAGGCACTTTAAACACTGTGGAAGGACCGGGGAAGGAGTGGCTGACCCTGCATGTCTGCCTCCCCACACAAACCAGTTGGTTGAGTAGGAAGTTGTTGCTATATTTCCTTTGGTCATCTTCAGGAAGTGAGACCCATGAGACTGGAGAGATTGCTCAGTGGTTGAGAGCACTGGCTGCTTTCCAAAGGTCCCAGGTTCGATTCCCAGCACCCATACGACAGCTCACAACTGTCTGTAATCCCAATTCCAGGGGATACAATGCCCTCTTCAGGCTTCTTTGTGCACCAGGCATGCACATATGTTGGGCACAGGCATAAGGGCAGGCCAAACGCTCATTAAAATATATATAAAATAGCCGGGCAGTGGTGGTGCATGCCTTTAATCCCAGCACTCAGGAGGCAGAGGCAGGCAGATCTCTATGACTTTGAGGCCAGCCTAGGCTACAGAGTGAGATCCAAGATAGTCAGGACTGTTTCACAGAGAAACCCTGTCTTGAAAAACCAATATACACACTCGTGTGTGTGTGTGTGTGTGTGTGTGTGTGTGTGTGTGTGTGTGTGAAACTCAGACTTCGCTGGTGACATGGAGGTCCAGTTGGTCTGTAGGTGGAGCAGTATTGAAGTCAGCTGCCTCCCTGCCTGGGAAAGATGTCTTGTGTCTTGAATGCTGACAGAGTGTGATCCCACCAGCGCTCCACTGTTCCTGGGATGAGTCCAGTGCACCAAAGGAGTTCATTCATACATGATGGGCTCCAGCATGTCTTTGTAAAAGCAGGGCTTTTCTGTGGCCCTAAGAGAAAGTAGAGGAATTAGTGGAGCACGACGATGTCTAAAAGTAAAAATATTTGATGTTCAACACTTAAGGACGAATTATAAGCAACAATAGGAAGGAGGATTGGCATTCAGTGTACTGTGTGACTGTAGCAGTAGAGGGTTGTTTTGGCAATGTTGTAGGAAAGATCATTGGGGCATTTCTACAGGTGAATGCTCACGAGGAGGTCTGGTCGTGTAGCTCAGTTGGCAGAGTACAAGTCTGCCATGCCCAAAGCCCTGGGTTTGATCCACCTTGGCACAGCATAAAACCAGACAGGTGTGGTGGTATATATATGCCTGTAATTCCAGCACTTGGGAGGTGGAGGCAGGAGCATTGCTCTGAGTTCAAGGTCAGCAGTCTCTGTCTCAAATAAGGGAGGAGGGAGGCAAGAAAGAGAAAAATAGTCCTAACTGATTGTAGCAGGTCTTTCTTTGGATGGCCAGCTCCCAAATCATGACATGGAGACTTCTTATTAATTA